ACTGTAAACAAATGAAGAATGACTCTGATGGTCTCATCGGTAGACTGGACACGGCTAAGGAAAGAATCAGTGAGCTTGAAGATATATCAATAGCAACTTCCCAAAATGAAATGCAAAGGGAAAAGATGGAATAGAATATCTAGGAACTGTGGGACAATTATAAAAGGCGTAACATGTAACGGGAACACGAAAAGGAGAAGAAAGGAAGAGAGGGAGGGAGGAAGCGAGGAGATAGAAGGACAGAGAGAGAGAAGGAGGAACAAGCAAACAGTAGAAATATTTGAAATAATAATGGCTGAAAAACTTCCAAAACTAATGACAGACACCAAACCACAGACCCAGCAAGCTCAGTGAGCACCAATCAGGATAAAGAGCAAAAAATCTATATTTAGGCATATCATAGTCAAACTGCAGAAAATCAAAGACAAAGAAAAAATCTTGACAGAAGCCAGAGGAAGAAAAAAACACATTCCCTATAGAGGAAGGAGGTTAAGAATTACACCAGATTTCTCTTACAAAACAAACAAGCAGAAAGAAAGTGGAGTAATTTAAAATGTTGAAAGAAAAACCCACAAATCTAGAATTCTGTACTCAGCAAAGTTATTCTTCACAAGTGAAGGAGAAATAAAGACTTTCTCAGACAAACAAAAATTGAGGGAATTTTTCACCAGTAGACCTGCCTTGCAAGAAACAACAGAAGTTCTTCAGAGAGAAGGAAAATGGCATAGGTTATAGACTTAGACCTACATAAAGAAAGAAGAGTGTTAGAGAAAGAATAAATGAAGGTAAAACAAAATCTTTAAGTTTTCTTATTCTTAATTGATCTAATAGATAATAGTTTGTTCAAAATAATAAAAGCAACAACGTATTTGGTGACTATAGCTAACGGATACGTGAAATGAATGACAGCAATGTCATAGGGACAGGAAGGAGGAATTGGAATACTCAGTTATATGATAACTGCACTACTGTGAAATGGTATACTATTATTTGAAAGTGGGCTTAGATTAGTGGTAAATGTATATTATAGCAAACTCTAGACCAACCACTAAAAAAATTTAAAAAGAAGTATAATTGATATGCTAAGAGACGAGAGAAAATAGAATCATATAAAATGCTCAAAAATACCAGAGAAGACAGAAAAAGAGTGGAAGACAAAAAAGAAACAAAAAACAAGAGCAATGAATAGTGGACAGCAACGTGGTAGACATTAATCCATCTATGTTGATAATCACTATAAATATGAATGGTCTAAATATACCAATTAAAACACAGGGATTGTCAGAGTGGATTAAAAAACAAGACCCAACTATAAGTTGTCTACAAATCACGCTGTTGGACATCACATAGGAACATTCATGGATGAGCCAAAAGATCCCTGGCCTGAAGGTAAGGAGACTTAGGTTTCAGTCTGGTCTATCGACTAACCAGCTGTGTGACCTTTGACAAGTCACTGATGTTCTTGGAGCCTCTTTTTACCCTTCTGTAAAATAAGAGGATTTAGACTAAATTCCTTAAGCTCCCTGTCAGCTTGAAATCCTATGCCTCTCTACGAGGATCTGATGAGTAAATGCGGATAGTCAAAGAGGAGGCTGAAGCATCAATAGGTGCTTTTGGTCGAACTGAGTTCACAAGAGACCCAGCTGCAGCCAGCAGGGGTGTGCGCAAGAACATGAGAGCACAAATCCAAAGTCCTGGCTACTTTGTGAAAACTGAACTCTTGGAGACCAATGGATGGCAGGAATCCCTTATCTGGGTCCATATTTGGGAGGGAGATAATTATAAGGAGTTTGCAAGCAGTCTTTAGGTTGACTTGTACTGGTAAGGTAGGAGGATGGGGTAACTCAGGGGGTCTTTGCTGAATGCAAAGGTATAGAGGGACAGAGGATTACTATAGCCCCGTGTCCGGCATTCCTGCCCTATCATCATCTTTTCAGACTAAAAGTACCCCCACCTTTGCCACTATTGCCCCCTGCTCTGTACATATATCCTCTACAGAAGAAAGAGAAAAGGGAGTTTCAAGTGTCTAAGCCCCAATTTTAAGAAGATTGTTCTTGATGATCAAGACCTTAGTCGCAGCATCTAGCAAATAAGATCCTCAAACAGAGAGAACCGTGGCACGACTTGTCCATTTTTCACCAAATGCGTGACCATTCTGATGGAAGAAAGTGGAAGAGAACGTTTGAAACTGTCTTTAAAAACCCAGGGGGTCATCAAAGGGAAACTAAATCAATGACTCTGCATTTAGTCAGGGTTGTAGGTCAATACCCTAGGCTGGCAAATCACAGCACATTTTTTACTTTCCCAGGTGGTCCTCTTCCTGGCGTTAAGTGGTCTGCATCAACTGCACTCTTTCCCTCTGACACAGTTATGTATTGTAGGGAAGCTGGCCCTATGCTGATCTTACAGACATCTCTCACCTACGTCTAAGTGATATGGTATAAAACCCCAGACCCACGAAGCACTGGCATTTCCACTGGGAAACTGTGGGAATTCTAATACCCCACCAGATGGAGGGCTCCATGAAGGCAAGGACTGTGACTGTGTTTGCTAATCACTACAACCACTGTGCCTGGCTCAGCGTCTGCCACACAGTAGGTGCTCACTAAATATTTGTGAAATTGAATGAAAAAAGTCCAGCACGAATGTGGGCCTGGAAGAAGTCTGCACAGTCAAATATGATGATTTCTAAAAATACTTTTTAAAAGTATTACTTCACTGAACAGTCATTGAGTGTTTTCTTTATGATAGGCATTAAAATACAGAAATGAATGAGATGGTGTGCCAATTCTCATAAAGAAGAGGGGAGACAATATTCACTGAGTGCTACAATAAGCTGGGCGCTTTTTATTCATTATTTCATCCTCCCAACAACTCTGTGAGGAAGGTATCATTACCCCTCCTTTGCAGATAAAGAAACAGAGACTTGCACAAAAGCCCCAATCTAGCAAATGGCAGAGCCAAGAATCTATTCCAGGACCTGGGTACTTCCCTTTACAATGTACTTTCTCCCCAAAGCAAATTTAAAATCACAGTGTGATGTTCTGTTATGTGATGTTTTGTTCAGAAAACTTAGGTTCTCAAAAATCGATATAGGCCGGCCCCATGGCTTAGCGGTTAAGTGCTTGCGCTCCGCTGCTGGCGGCCCAGGTTCAGATCCCGGGCTCGCACCGACACACCGCTTCTCTGTCCGTGCTGAGGCTGCGTCCCACATACAGCAACTAGAAGGATGTGCAGCTGTGACATACGACTATCTACTGGGGCTTTGGGGGGGGGAAATAAATAAATAAATAAAATTGTTAAAAAAAAAAAGATAGCATTTAAAAAAAATCAATATAAACAAATAATTTCATTGGGAAAAGAGGTTTAGACTCTCAATGTCAAGTTATTTATGTTGGAAAAAAATTCCAATAATAGAGGTGCTTTTAACTACATGAGTGTGTAATTGGAGGCTAAAAATAATAAATTGCCTGAACAAAATAAACGAAAATTACCAAGTTAAGTCCTAAATAGGATCTAAGACCTGAGTCAATGAGTTTCTAAATTATCATTACCATAACTCCTTGTTATGATAAACAAAACACAACACTAGACTAAGATGGCTGAAGTCAAAATAAAGGGCAGCACGGTTCATGCTGCCAATGGTGAACAAAAGAACGTGAAAGCAAGAAGCTGCCAACTGCACACAGCAGCTTCTTGCCAGGACCCTGGTACTAATTCTCGACTGTGCTTGAATTATAACCAGTAGAAATGCATAATATGAACTGTGCTCCCTCAGTGAACTAGGTGTCAGATCCTATTTGCTTTATGAATGCTCAAACTGTAGGAGGGAAGCCTGAAATAGGGAAATGAATTCTTAGACACAGGAGCAACATAGAGAAATGCTCAGGGTCAGGCTGCCTTGTAGGGACAGGAGGCCCACCGCAGAGGTGGCCACGTGACTTGCATAACTGTGGGTCACAGAGAGGCTCCTGAGTCGCCTGTTTCCCTGGACCCTAAAGCAGTTTTGGGAATTGCCATTTCTTCCCAACGGGTGAAAATACACAGGGCTTGGAAGCATCTGCAGTTATATATGGGTGGAAAGTTTGGAAACGAGTTGTTCCCACCCACCCTGCCTGGATCAGATGAGGAACTGGGAAAACAGAGATCCATGATCAAACCGAATTCCAGCAGCTCAGAAAGTGCCCAAGGTGGTGCAAAATGGTCCAGGACTGGAATGCTCCTCACGGATATGGCCCAAAGCTAGGGCAGTGCTGACCCTCTCTTACATTTTTATAGCTCCCTGTAATTTTCAATAATTTCATAACAACTCTGGGAATAAAGTCATATTCTTATTTTTACGGATGAAGAAATTGGAGACGAGTAAGAGATTCACGGCTAGCAACCGTCAGACTAAGACTCAAATCCTCAGTCTTCCGACTCCATATTGAATAGGCTGTCCACTACAAACTCCCGAGGGTGACCTCGGGAATGTATTTTGTAGGAGCAATGGCTTTGGAGTCAGACCTGCATTTGCCTATCCTGGATGTACCACTTCTTAGCCATATAATTTGGGTAAGTTCTTTAACTTCATTAAGACTTAGTTTTTTCATCTGTAAAATGGGGATGCACATAACACCTAACTCATGGTGTTACTGTGAGGATCAAATGCGATATGCATATAGCATGCTCAGCTTGGAACTTGGCCCTCATTAGAGCTGGACAAATGTTGAGGGCTTCAGGGTATGTTTTAGTATGGACTCTGGAGGGAGGAATCTCCTTTCCTCCTCTGTAGTTCAGCAGGCCTTGGGGCACAAAGCCCCCAGGGGACATTTTATAAAATGTATCTAAAGCTACAAGAAGATAAAAACTTGGGACAGGCAGGGAGTGCTTGGGGGCCTGAGCACTGAGCTCAGAATGGGTGTGGAGGAATATCCACTGCACAGGGAGCCTGTCTGTGCCTCCTCCCACAGTGCCATTTGCGCCAGGTCCCTAAGGCAGAGAGGACCCTCCGTTCCCACCTGGAAAGCCATGGAGTTGGCGGCAGCCAGAAATATCCTCAGAGGCAGCTTGGCCTTGTAGGACCTGTGGCTCCACAAGCGATGGGCACCAGCTGTCACCCCCAGAGCAGTCAGGAGGAAGCAGAAGTAGGCTGCAAGACACAAGCAGGGAGAATGTCAGCAGATGTCACAGAGCTTTTAAACATCCCCCATGCCTTCTTCTCTCCTGAATAGGGATCCCTGTGAAATGCTGTCAGGGGAATAATCTGCAACATGAAGAGTCAATAACTTGAGAAAATGTAGACTTTTTATCGATTTGTAGCTTTCCAGTACCAGGCAGAAGCAGAGAGAACTTTCCTCAAGCAACTTTGACCTTTGAACATTACTTTTTCTATATCAAACAAATCTTTCATTTGTTAATGTTTCTTTCCAGTCTCGATGCAAAGTCACAATCACATGAGTGTGCATTTGTAATTCGGTCTTATGTGTCACTCTCAGTGGAGCTGAGATGGATCTCTACGGCCAGTTCGTACCCAAGCCAGGATGAGTTAAATAAAGTCTATTTCTAAATGGCAGTGCTCATTATCATGGCTCTGTAGACCTTGGTTCGAAGGAAATCAGGCTAGACCTAAAAGCAATGAAGTCGGGCTCAGGGCCAGTAAGAATGAGGATAAAACCGACATCAGGAACAGCTGAGATGTGTCTTCTAGAGATCCTCACTCACACTGTCACTATGACCTAGGCTGGCAAACATGGCCAAGTGGGGAATTTTTTTATGTATTTATTTATTTGTTTTGTGAGGAGATCAGCCCTGTGCTAACATCTGCCAATCCTCCTCTTTTTTTGCCGAGGAGGACGGCCCTGGGCTAACATCCGTGCCCATCCTCCTCCACTTTATATGGGACGCCGCCACAGCATGGCTTGCCAAAGCAGTGCGTCGGTGCGTGCCCGGGATCCGAACCAGCGAACCCCAGGCCGCCGCAGCGGAGCGCGCGCACCCAACCGCTTGCGCCATCGGGCTGGCCCCAAGTGGGGAATTTTTTAAAAGCTAATCTACAGTGGAGCTTATTATCTACCACACAATTAAATTTATTATCTCTAATCCTCACAACGTGGGTTATCGTCTCATTTTACAGTTGAGAAACTGGATTGCTGCGAGTTAAATCCTGCGTATAAACCTAGGTCAGCCTAGTTCTAAAGCCTCTGCCCACAGACCCCATGCTGCCCCAGGTGGTGGTGGTGGTTTGCTCTTTGTATGGTGACTTGGGAGAGGTTATAAGTGTGTGGTGGAAAGGGGACACATACGGACCAAAAAAATCATGATTCCTGAGATTATTACAACTACTTCAGTGGTTTAAAGCAATGTGCCCACATAATGCTAAATGTCTTACTTGGATTATCTTATTAAAACACATCGAACAACCCTATAGGGTTTGCATTATTATTAGCCCCATTTTACAGATGAGAAAACAAAGGGTTAAAGAAATTAACTAATTTCCCAACGTCAAAAAGTTAGGAGGTGTCTTTGTTAAGAGTCAAACCCAAGTCTGTCTGAACCAAGAACTGAGTTCCTGCCCTCTACACTCTCCTCTGCCTCTGGGAGACAATGGATAAGTTTTATCTTTACTTCTCTACACTCCAGTGTCATCCTGAATATTGAATCCCAATCTAAATTTAAAAGTGAGCTGCTTCCTTACTTGGGGGGAGAGCCCTAAACCAAGCTATACGCAGGTAGGATTAGGCAGATTATCCTACACAATTGCTTCTAGCACATAGCATATACAGGGCCCTCTATAAAGAACTGCCAAAGAACAAGTCAGCTGTGAGTACATTCCCGGGCAACTGTGAATGGCCCCAGGCCAGGAGGAGTTCTTAGGGAGCCCACTGTAACACTCCTTTGGAAGAATTACTAGGAGAACTTCAGCGTCAATATACATATTTAAAGAGAGCACAATATTACACCTTCCAAAAGTCAAGTCTGACTGATCTTGATCTTAATCCATATTTACATGGGTCTAAAACAAGACTTACCTTTAGCACTAAGATTAATGAGTCTCTAAATACACATGGTTTCATGAACTTGACAAATCATTCCTTACTTGAAAGGTTAAAAACAAAAAACAACGAGTGGCCCATAAATCACAGAAAGCAGCAGTAAATAAAAAGCTCCGGCCCCTTTTGTTACCGTAATTTAACCTTGGTCATAAGTCCATGAAATGGACGGCTATTTTCCATGTCATCCCTGGCCTCCATGTCTCTACCAATAATTTATTTCCAACTGTCAAGTAGGTAGGGAACAAGTGAAATCTATAATGGAAAAATTCAGTGTGACCCTATTTTGCCAGTGGGCTAAGACACTGGCACTTGGGTGCAATAAAATGAATTCCAAGACTCCATGAAAAACAATGGCCAAAAAATAATCTCTCCAATCCATGTTTCCCAGGCAGGGCCTTACCACAAGACAAGACATTGTCTTGTCCTTTTTGGCATCTCCAATATTTCAGGGATCACTTGCATGGTTGGTCTGTCTGTGCTCAGGGCGCTGACAATAGGCCTGAGTCAGAGACTGTACTGGGCAGTAGTGGCTATTGGTTTTTCAGGGTTCTTCTTCTGGCAACAGGAATGTGGCCATGTGACCCAGGCCTGGCATAGCATAATACCCCATCTTCCTGGCCCTGGGAATAAACACTTGACCCAACCCTGCTCCTCTTTTGGCTCAAAGACTAAAGGTCACATATTAAGGCATGATTGCAATAGTAAGGAATGAGGCTAAGAAAGTGAGACACGAAGATGATGGAGATGTCAACAAGAGCTAGAAAGAGAGCTGCCTGCATCGTGCCACTGGTTGCAAGCCCTGGAGCTCTCTAGTTCTTCTTTTGATCCTGTAATCCTCCCCAGTATTCCTTCTAGTTATGTGAGCCAACAAATTCCCTTTTCTTGCTTAAGCTAGTTTGCACTAGACTTCTGATACTAAAAATCTACAGAACCTTTAGGGAAGACAGCTACCTTCTGGTCATATCCCAGATGAGGATAATCTGCAAAAACCCTGGGCTGGATGTGAGGATTTATGGGCTGTTCCATTAACAAGACTCAGTTTTCCTATTTTGAAAGGGCTAATTTGAGAGGTTCTTAACCTCTCTTCTATGATCTTTTTGGAGATTAATATCCAACAAGTTTTCTGATGGAGGCTGGCTAGCTAGCTGTGAGGTGATGAAGTATTCAGATACAGAATTGATAATTTTGAAAAAAAAAAAGAAGTAATGAGTAATGTCATAATGAGTAATGAGTAGTAAGCAACAAACAAGTTGGTCTGTATGCAAATAAGTCACCAATTCTGGTTAGCTCAAGCCAAAAAGAAATGATTTAAAAAGATATTGAGGGG